AGTTATTTTATTTCCATTACTTGAATTTACATTACTAAGATACATTTGATTGCTACTCTGATTATCATGATCATATTATCATCATATTACTTTCTTTTGCTCTTGTCAAACCAGTGGACAGTCTTTGTGGTCTATTTAACAGCGTGTTTTAACTTATTTGTTCCTCACTCAGCTACACGCTTTTGTTGACTTTTTTCATAATTAACCTCAATAGCATAGATCCTAATGAGTTCTGCAGTCTTTTTGAGTTACCTATATCATTGGGCTTCGTAAAGATGATTAATACTGAATTAATTATTATTCTGAAGCTATTTTCTTGTGGCATCTTGATGCAATTATTATTTTTATTGGGAATAAGCCACAATTTAAGTTTTAAATATGTTTATTTTTGACGCGTATGGCTTATTCTCAATAAAAATAGTAATTGAATTAATTATTTTTTAACATCTTCTAGTTAGTTTTAATTATCTGATGTATAACCTTTTGGCCTGTTTAACATACATTCTTGCAATTTTTTTTAGACTGTTGCAAATTTTCTCTTTTTCTTCTTTATTTATTAGACTTTAAATATGTCTGATTCCTTGAGCATGTTTTTTTGCCACGTACATTGCAATTTAGCTCCACACCAAGCATGTTTTTGCCTTATATATTGCCATCTACCTCTTCATCAATCATCATCGATTCTCTTCGAACAGTATTATTAGTTATTCTTTATTTTTACCTTACAATGTTTGATCTAGCTTGATAGATAGTTAGATCTACAATATGAGACTTTTCAAATGATATTCTGGTCAAATCAGGACTGGAATCTTCATCTTATCCATCCTACAATGTTGTCGACTCCATATGTAGTTTTTTAATTTTACAGATTTATTTGATGTTTGATTTTACTTGTACCAGATCTTATTTGCTTTTAGTAGGTTTTAAAATCTCATTAAAAGGTATTTGTAATTTCTTTGTTAGAGTTTTTCTATTATTTTCCAACAACTATTCTATTATTATAATATCCAGTATAATTTCTTTAAATTATCACTTTGGATCAGTAGAAGATTATGTTTTTTATACCCAAGGGCGGTGTACCTATTTCTAACGTAGATGGAAAAATTGTATTCTAAACAAACAAACGTTTTAATATTTGTACACAATTAAACTAATTTATTTAGACTGAATAGTAATTTAAATCTTGTTTCAATTAAGATCCATCTTTAATCATTCTAGTATTAAGAACGACTTTAATGATCCATTAATAATAACCGTCATAATTTTGCAATACCGACAAAATTACTGGTTCTTGAAAGAAAGATACTGCGGACTATCTATGAGCCTTGCAAAGAAAAAACAACAGGAGAGTGGAGAAGAAGACACAATAATGAACTTCAGGCAATATATGGAGATGAAAACATAGTCCGCTACATTAAAGCAAACCGAATAAGATGGGCGGGCCACGTCCTAAGGTCAAATAACGAAAGACTTCTGAACACCACATTCTGGTAAAGGCCCGATGGCAGAAGGTCAGTTGGCCGCCCAAGAAAGAGATGGAAGGACGCAGTGGCCAGTGATCTACGTGAAATGGGAGTGCAGCAGTGGGAAGTAACTGCTCAGGACCGACAACAATGGAGGGAAATAGTAAACGCGGCCAAGACTCACCTAGAATTGTAGAGCCAAATGATGATGATGATGATGATAATTTTGCAATAATTATTTTTCATCATATTAATTTGACAGCAAGTTTTAGCCCACTTGGCTTGTATAAATTTTATATTGGAAACTCAAAATCTTCTAATCCGTCAGACAAAATTGTGATTCAAATATAAGTCAAACAAGGTGTTGTATTTTTTCTTTATTGGTTTAACGTATACTCTGAAATAATATTTAACGAAGTCTTATAAGTACAAAGTGGAGTTTGAAGTGTGGTTAAACTGTTACCAATATCTGACACGTGGATGACATTGAGATCTTCTTCTTAGGGTACCTGTCTGTTCCGAACGTTGGCGATCATTCTAGCTATCTCAGGTTAGCAAGCCAGGTATTCTTCTTTATCCTGGGGCACTTTCTCTTTTAATTTTACCTTTCAAAATGCATTAAGGTAGTCGAAAATGACCAAATCCGCGGTTGTGTTCATCCTATCATCCGATGTCCACGTTTCTATTCCTTACAGAAGCACTGAGTACACGTAACATTAGACGAGCCTTATTTTTGTTTCTAGGATGAGCTCATGGTTCTTGAACACATAGCTCGTAATTAAGAATATACATTTGCCTTTCCGGTGCGACATTTAATCTCTTGGCTATTGTCCACGACTCATTGATGATAGTTTCCAAGTAGTTGAACTGTGAGACACGTTCAATTTTTATTTGTTTCACGTACATATTTGCTCCAGTTATGTTTTCCTTACTGATAACGATAAGCTTGATTTTGCTGGTGTTTATATCTAGTCCATATATGCTTTTCATTTCCGTTATTTTGTTCATTAAGTTTTGCAGCTCTCCTATGGTATTAGAAAACACTATTGTATCATATGCATACCGCATATTATTGAGCTTGACTCGATTTATTCAGATGTCTTTATCAATATCTTTTAAAGCTTCTTCAAAAATGTGCCCCGAGTACAGATTGAATATCAGTGGTAAAACTATGCACCCCTGTCTCACTCCCCTTAAGATTTTGACCTGATCTGTATATTCTCTATTTATTTGGAACAGCACTGATTGATTTTAATCCAGGTTAGCTATTATTTTTAGGTCTCTTCTGTTAATCCCTGTCTTCTTTAGAACTCTTATCATACGTTTATGCCTGACTCTATCGAAAGCCTTTTTGTAGTCAATCAGGCGTGCAAAAACATCATAGCTGAGATCTCTACATTTCTGAAACAATACCTGCACGCTACTTAAAGCTTTTTTCGTACGAACGGCGTTCACAAATACAAACTGATTGGGCGCATTTGTTCTGATTTGAGCTGATTTGTTCCTCGTATTTCTGCTAAAGTCTTTTGTGGATGACTTTTAAAAACAACTTTAGCACATAACTCATTAATTTTATGGACCTATAGTCTTCACAAACTTTTGCTCCTAGTTTGTTGGGTAATGGTACGAACTCGAATTTAGGCCACTTAAGGTATTTTTCCTGCCTTGTATATTTCAGTAAATATTTCAGTTAATATTTATATTTGTTCTGCATCTACTAGCGTCAGCAGTTCTGCACGAATTTTATCAAGTCCCGGTGCCTTTCCATCCTTCATTTGTCTGACAGCTGCCGTTCTTTCTTCTGGTAGGATTTCGGGACCTGAATTTTCTTTAATGGTGAGTTCTTGTATTGTTCTAAGGTCGTGGTAAAGTTTCTCCAAGTATTCTTGCCATACTGTCTTTTTATCTTCTTTGGTTATGGCAAGATTGTCTTCATTATCTGTTCACACAGAGATGGTGGTTGATAAATACGATATGCTGACTAAAGCTATTCAAGCACCAACCTTACAGGGTCTGTAGCACGTGTTCGATAGAATTGACGCCATAAGTAAACATTTGGGGCTTAAGATCAACTCTATTAAGACCAAATTTATGGCAACAAGTCGACTGCCGATAAAGACTACTACCTTGATTTAAATATCTGCGAATCATTGTCAACGAAAAATGGCATTGCGATGGAAAAGTTAACTAAGAAACTACGCAAGAACAATGTTTGTCAAACCTAAAAATATCCTATAAACTTGCAATCCCCCACTTGCCCTTAGACTACGTGTTGTAAAGTGCTGAATATTACTCATTTTACTTTATGGCTCAAAGGTCATTGACTTAAGAGTTAGATCATTGAATTGCATTGAAGCATTTGAAATGTAGACTTTGAAATAAAGCAATTTTAAGAACAACAGGTTTCTAACGCGAAATTCTCAATATAGGGCATGCAAAGTCGATATTCCCCAAACAATTCTTACAAGGAAAGATACAGAAGCACCAAAGTTCAGGAAAGAAAACCACAGTTGTGGCTGAGAAATATAAGGAACTGGTGTATTACCAGAGACGTAGCCACAAATAATTTGAAGAGTACAGACAATGGCCAACTTGCGACCAACCACATGACATACATACATACAGTCATAAAGAAAAAGAAGAAGATTTAGGATCACAATTTAATTTTTTTTTAGTTTTTATTAGCATATAATATTATTTAAAGTCATGTTTGCGAAAAGCTAAACATTTCTTAGCTTGATATCACCTTCTTTCCAATTAATTTCTTCCGATTCATTTTAAACTGTGTTATTTTATTACATCTGTATGACTTTTTTATTATTACTTTTTGATAGTTTGAATTTATAACAGATTCGAATTATTATCTAAATCTAAATTACTTTTTACCAATTTAATTTGATATTTTCGATGTTATTCTCATATACATGTTAATATAATTTTTTATTGTCACCTTATGGCATTTAAACCTGAACTTGATGATAAAAGGCATCTTTGCCATACAACTCCTTTCAACTCATTATGAATATTGATCTCACCACCCAAGTTGAGCGTCAACTTTCCTAAGCTGATTCTTTTAATAAGTGCTATTCTGTTCACGTTGATGCTAGTTGACAACATCGATCTTTTTGACATCCTCAGCTATACCTAAGGGCTTTGCCAATAAAATAGCATAGGCAATCTCTCATTTTCTCTGGCTAGATGTCCTATCTATCGCAGGCGGCTACTGCCCACGCTAACTTCAGCTAACACTTTATACCATGCTTGTATAGATCAAAGTTAGGAATGGAAATATTAAGATTCTAAGATCTGTACGTACAGCTTACGTGAATAAGTGTGTTTTATATTTTGTAAAAAGATGGATTTTAATTGAACAACAAATAACATAGAGAAAATAAAAAATTTTCCTGTTGTATAACAACAAAGAAATAGGATGTTTAAATTAAAACACTATTTTACTGTACTACCAAATACAGTAAAGCTATTAAAGAGCTATTAGAACTATACAAATAAATGCTTCATTATCTGTTTGTTTTTTAGCTACGATAGCCACGTTAGTTAGTGGAATGCAATATGGCTGGCCAGCACCTTCCTTGCCACAACTGCTGGATGACACATCATATATCCATATCGACGAAGATATTGGCTACTGGTTAGCAACTGCTCCTTTGCTAGGCGCTCTTGTAGGCTCTCTATCTACTCCTCTATTTCTTGACCGCATCGGACGACACAAGACAATTCTCTTGACTGGTTTACCTTACGTATTATCGTGGTTCTTGATCTATATTGCCTCCAGCTACCAAGTAATTTTGGCTGGCAGAGTAATAGCTGGTGTTGCCGATGGTTGGATGTTTTGTTCAGTTCCAGTATATATAGGAGAGATCGCAGAGCCTAGAATAAGAGGATTTCTTGGATCGATGATATCAGTATCGTATATTGGTGGTATTCTACTTGTGGATATCATTGGTTCATTCTGTACTGTTCCAGTAACTGCACTAATATCAGCTGTGTTTCCAATCGGCATGGTTGTAATATTCTTTTTTATGCCAGAGTCTCCATATTTTCTAGTAATGAAAGGAGATAACGAAGGTAAGCTAAAGAATATTTGAATTTTATAAAACAAAATTTTTAGCTTTATAATAAGGATATTTTAGTTTATAGAAGATCCGTTTTAATCTTTCTTGAGTTTGTTTAAAATCTGTCGTTTTTACATACATCAAATTTTTACAAAAATTGTAATTTGTTGTTCTTTGAACTATATATACATAATATAAATGTGCTAACTTAACTTCCAACTCGTAAATAACATTCTTATCTAATCTTCTCAAAGTCTGTACCAATTCAGACTTGACTCCTTAATGACCCTATTTTAGTTGTTGGGTTTTTAGATCGTATATTTTTGTCTTTTTGACTGACTGACTCTAGGCCTTCAAACAAAAATTGATTTCCACAATCTTAAAACATTTTTTTAATTTATTTCTCTATTAGTGTACATACCTCACTACTATACTATGTAGCAGACACTAGTTAAGCACTGGAAGAGCACGATTGGGCTTAACTATCAATATAGACAAGACGAAGGTCATGGTGGTTAGTAGAATACAAAATATGCAATTAAATATAAGAGTAAAAAATAAGAACATCTAAAAGGTCCCCAAGTTCGAGGTCATTATATCTCGTAGACCTTTCCACTCTTCAACCTGAAAAATGTTGTATATGAAACACATATACAGGTATGTCTTTGTTAAGAATAACAAATTTAGGCCTCCAAGGAAGCCTGCGTCGCAGATTCATTTTTTATCTGGTCCTTTTCTAATAGGACTTGAACCAGTTATTTCTGGCGTTGACGAATAATTTCTTGCCATTACGGATGATAAATTAATTCCATTTTCTTGGTATTTCCGCCATAGTTCCGCCATCACCATAGTTCCATGTCTACGTTTAAGTACAGCACCAATTTTAGGTTAAGTTATTTAAAGCTTGCATGTCAAGCATAATGCTATGATAACTATTTTGCTTGTTTTTCGCTTGGAATAATTTTTCAAGGAACTTAACTCAGTTGCTTTTTTATTTTCGAACTTCTTTCGTCATACGGCTTTTTGGTATACCGCAAAATGATTCTGGTCCTATAAAAGAAGTATTAGATGTTTATTTAGTAAAACTATCAGCAGTCAAGCAAGTAATAGAATTTAATAAAGCCTATGAGACTTGCATACCCCTAAGAATGACCGTCTGGTGCTACAATTTATTAGGACGAGGCTGACTAATTCATATAAATCAGGAACCACTTTACCTCGCATCAAGACGCCAGAGTCGCCAACTTTGTCCCCCGGCTGCCATCTTGGAAAAAGAGGGACAAAGTGTTTTCACGCTTTATCTTGTAAGTTGGCAAGCCTATAAAAAATTTTATCGGAATTACAAATTACAGCTAGAATACTAGCCGCGGTTGTACTAGTCTTTTCTCTTCGATATCCATCAGACACAACATTTTGACTCAACATAGTGTCACATTACCTTGCAATCCTTACATTCACGTATATATTCTTTTTTGTCATAAAGAATCTATTTAAGAGTGTGTTTGTCCAATTTTTATGTTTATAAATAAAATATCCTAAAGCGTAATATTGTTTTTTTAGCTGCCATAAAGAAACTACAAATTTTAAGAGGGACGAATAATGTAGAAAAAGAAATTGTCAGAATTCAAGAAGGTATCCAAGAAGAAAAATCAGTTAAATCAAACCCACTTGATTTGTTCCGTATACCAAGTAACAGAAAAGCTCTATTTATTATACTAGCTCTAAGAGTATGCCAAGAGTTTAGTGGTGATTCCGCTATTACCTTTTACACTCAGAATATTTTCAAAGAAGCCGGAACAAATATTCCTGAAGACATAGCATCCATAATCCTGTTTGTAATCGAGTTGGTAGTCACAATAGTGGCTGCTTCGCTTGTAGATAGATTTGGTCGTAGACCCCTGCTGATCTTCTCAGCTATTGGAGCTGCCATTGCATTACTCGTAGAAGGAATTTACTTCTATCTGAAGATATGTACCGATCTGAACTTAAGTGACTTTAATCTGGTTCCGCTGGTAGCTCTTATATGCTTCGTGGTATGTTTCGGATCAGGACTCAAAGTAATACCTATGCTTATGTTGGGTGAACTATTTCCTGCTAGCGTCAAGGCTGCTTCTGTGGCTGTAGCTGATCTTTCAGTTGCTGCGTTTGTTATGACGGTGTCTAAATACTTCCAATTCACCAGAGATCATTTTGGAATGCACGTCCCTTTTATTTCGTTTGCAGTATTTTGTACAATTGGATTGTTGTACATTATTTTCTGTGTACCTGAGACCAAAGGAAAGACATTGGAAGAGATTCAGGACAATCTCAAAGGACGAAAGAAGATTGATGAGAAAAATATTGAAAGTAGATTAAGTTCTGTTCATAAAAGTGTACATATGTAAACTTTAATAGTAAAACGAGGATCTCGAATCAACAGAACTGATATTTATGTATTGTTATTTATATATTTATTATTTATTATTGAATAAATATTTTTATTATAAATGCTTTTCTATATTTTTGTATCTGTATTTTATTTTTATTAAGCGGTAGATATAAAATTTACATTTCGTATTGAAATGTGTCATTTTTTAGGTATTTGTTAATAAAAAATATTTAAAAAAACAAATATTCAGAACTATTTACCAAAAACGAAAAGCAGCAAGCTTACTGAATCTTATAGTGTATATTGACAAAACCCTAAAACACCAAGACAAATATTATGTAAAAAGCGAAAGGTATCAATCGACGATTGAATGATGGTGAAAGAATTTTTAAAGCGGAGCTTACAAATGTTTTAAAAACTTACTTACCACATGATGATAGGACCAAAAGGATTGTGATCTAAAGATAAAATGGTATACATAAATACAAACAAAGCAGGTTTTTTTCAAGTATTTTTCTATGCCCGTCTCTCTTAGTTCTTTATTTTTATTCCTTCGCTCCAACTTTTTCTCGTCATCTCCTTTTCTCTTTCTTTCTCTTTCACTTATTCATCTTTTGTTGTAAGGTCATCTGTGATTGTTCGATTGATTCCCATTATTTCTCTAATGCGCTCGTTGGTAGACCTTTCTCTTCTAGATCTTCCTGCAGCTTTTCTCCAAAAATCCATTTTCGTCACTTTCAGCGTTGCCAGTGTTCTTTCTTTCAGTGGCCATACCTCACAGCTGTATAAAGTGATACTGTTTACTATAGTCTCAGATATCCTCTTTTTATTTTCTTTGCTGATGGATTGGCCTCATAAAATGCTGTTTAACATTGTGGTGGCTTTTCTTACTGACGTATTTCTCTCTCTTATGGCTTTGTCTAATCTTCCATCTTGTGAAATAGTGATACCTAGATATTTGTAGTCATAGCAGTGCTTTATCGTGATGTTATCGTCTAATATGAGGATCTTTTTGTTCTACTACAATGCATAGGTATTCGGTTTTCTTTTTATTTACTTCTAGACCCTATATATCATACTCGTCAATTAATTTTCGTGCCACTTAGTTTAAATCGTCATAGTCTTGAACCATTATTACTTGATCGTCTGCAAAGTTGAGCTTATATACCATAGTGTTGGTGAGCGGTATTCCCATTGTCCTGCATTTTTGTTTCCATCTTTTTAAAGCACTTTCCAGATATATTTTAAATAAAGTGGGGTACGACCACATCCTGCTTAATGTTATTAATGTTCAATCCTGTTGTTATTTGTGTCCCTGCTCTTATTTTTGTTATTGGTTGGTTGTATAGCACTTTGACGACTTTTATTAATTCTATATTAATATTTGTGTTTTCCATCGATTGCCACAGATTCTTCAGTGAAACAAAGAACGGAAAAGTTCTTTGAAATACTCTTTCCAGTCTTCTGGTTTTATGCTTTGTTTTACTTCTTTATTCTTTATTCATTGGATCATTGGATTTCGATGTTGAGGACATAGTATTGGTGTAATCCTTGGATCACTTCTTATGAGTGTTTCTACATTGTTTGTGGTGTTTTGTCGTTTTTTCTTCTTTTTTTTTTATTTTAGTTTGATGGCCTTGGACGAGCCAATCAGCCAGATAAATTTAAAGACAAACAATTTTTACAATCAGAGGAATTTTTTTGTATTTTTTTTTTTAATAAACATACAGTCATCCGTACAATTTTAAATAAATTACAATTTTTTTTCCTGCGTTAAGACATAACCGGATTCAACATCTCGGAGGTTGACATCTTTCTTTTTTATTTTTTAATCCTTTAATATATTTTTTTTATTTTGTAATTATTTTTTTTATATATATAATTTTTTTTCCTGCTATAATATAATACAATATTTACTTAAATGTAAAGGTTAGTTTAAAAGCTTCTTCTTCTTCTTCTTTTGGCATAATAACCCTAGATGGGTCTTTGCCTGTCTGGCTATGTCCTTCCATTCAGATCTCTCTTGTGCCCTTCTTCTCCATTGTCTTATGTTCATTGTTTTCAGGTGATCTTCCACGTCATTCAACCATCTCGTTCTGGGCCTTCCTTTTTTTCGCCTTCCTTTGGGCTTTCATTGTAACATTTTCTTTGTTGTTCTTGCATCGTTTTGTCTCTGCACATGTCCCAGCCGTGACAGTCTTTGACTTTTCACAAATCTTACAATGTCATAACCTTTATTTAACTCATTAACCTCAGTTTTAAAGTTACAATTTATATTTACAGTTTTTGATATGTTCGTAAATCGTTTTTAATATATTGATATCTGTAGAGAAAATCAAATTGTTCAGGTAGACGGGAAGTGGAATTTTTAATATAATAAGAATATCATTTTGTTTGTTGTTTGTAAGAAAATTTGTTTATGTTTACTGATTCGTGGGAACATTCAAGGAAAATATGTAATAGGTTACCTTCTTTTCCACACTTGCAATTAGGTGACTCCGTGATACCCAACTTGTACATATGAAGGGTTTTTTTCATCAATCTTGTGAAATATCTTGTTTATAAATAAAAATAGTTAGCCATTTTTATCAAAACCGTGGTTAGAGGGGTTTTTTCTTCCTTAATTGCATTTTCAGGGGAACAGGTATTTCGGGCTCTGTCATTTATTGACTTTGATAATTCCTTTTTTGATGTTTACGTGTTGGTTTGAGTGGTAACTAAAATATCTGTTTGTGTGGATTGGCAGATTTGTTTTACAATGTGTAAGTGTGTACAATACGCAAGAGTGGAAGTCAGCGTTTATAACCATCCTTAAAAACAAACAGCAAAAGAGTGCTCTGACTGTTGAATGCTGAGCTTCCTAACTCATGCTTTAGGAGGCTTAAGCAGTTAACATCTGCTAAGTATCACAAGAAATCTATGAAAGTAGAGCAGATTGGTGGACGCAATCGGGTCCGAAATCGAATGAATACTCAAGAAGAACTATTTATCCATCAACATACTAATTCGGCGATATCGGGATGTAAACGTTGATCATACACTTGTGTTTTGTTGACTACAGAAAAGCTTTCTTTAGAGTAAGACATGAAAAATTAATATTAATACTTATGAATAAGCACATTCACAGTAAAATCATAAAGATAAACATTATATTGGCACCAAAGTGCCATAGTATAAATTTATGAGCCACAGTCAGAAGAAATAAAGATCTATAGAGGAGTTAGACAGGGATGCGTTTTATGACTACTTTTGTTTAACTTATATATTCTGAACAAATTTTCACAAACACGCTCAGTAATATTAAAGCGGGAGTTACCGCACAATTAAAAAAAAAGAATTATATACGAATGTCAAAAACACCACCAAATATACATTACATATTGACTATTAATGGTAAAGTGATATAATAAGCAGAAAAATATCAGTAATTGGAAACTTTGATCAATGAAACCAATGATGATACTTTAGAAACAAACAGACAAATAAAGATTGCTAGATCAGCATTTATGCCATGAATGAAGCCTCTCCTACAAAGAAATCTTAATTTGAAAATCTGACTACGTACCATTTAATGATATATATTTTCAATATTATTATATGAAGCTGAGACATACCTATTAAAAAAATTCAACTCAAAAAGAATGGAGGCTTTCAAATTCTAATTATATCTCCGAGTATCATAGATCTCATGGGCTGGTAGAATTATAAATAAATAAGTACTGGAGAGGGTAGGAAAAGAAACAGAGTTAGCCATCACTATACAAACCAGAAAACTGGAATATCTACGTCTTGTGATGAGGGGACCAAAATAAACTTTTGAGACTCATAATACAGAGAAAGATTTCAAGACAGAAGATCTGTTGGCCAAAAGCGGAATTCTTGGTTAAATAATTTACCTAATTGGTATCAATGCAGATCGATTGATTTGTTTAGAGCCGCAAGTGCAAAAATAAAAATAGCGATTATAATTGCCAACCGTAATAGGAAGACTGCACTATAAGAAGAAGAATGATTTTTCACTTAATTCTTTTAATGAATCTGTATGGGAAGACAGATTTCGTGCGCCACTTCTTGCACCACGTTTATAATCTTCCTTTCTTTTTTGCAAAGGTACAAAAAGTAAGCCGAAAGTTGCCAAATCGTCGTAATTCATGAATGAAACTGAAAAATTCAACAGTACGTATGTTATAACAGCTAGTTCATAAATAAAGCTGGCAGTTATAACTGTACAGCTAAAATTGACAGTTTAAACTGTACGTGCTTGGCCTGACCCAAGATATTTTTTTTCTATTGAGTACTGTTCTGTTGACTTTATATTTTTATCTTCAGATCTTAATTTTCAAAGATTTCTATGTTAGTTTGTTTTGTAGTCTCTTTTGAATAAATGGCGTTGTTCCGTAAATAAATAAATAAAAACGTTCTTTTATTAAAGGATATAAAAGGAAGTATATTTTTGTATCTGAAATAAATTTTACCGACGAAGGTTTATCTTAGTTATATGTGATCTTATTAAAATGTGTATCATAAGCCACTCCTTAATTCCAAATGACAAATGGATCACAGATGTCTAAACCTGGGGTATATAAGGTACAAGTTTAATATTCTTTTGATAAATTGATCCGTATTAAAGAAATATAAGAATTATGTAATGATTGTATGGTAATACGACTTGTTATATATTTCTATTATACATTCAAGAACTTATCAATTATTCATAATATGTTGGACGCTACGGTTGACTGGAAGATGTGTTCTTCATTGTGTCAAATTGGTATTAGAGAAATATAACAAGACAAAGGAATTGTGAAGTGTATTTACTTTAAAAGGATGTAATTAAATTAATCATATACGTCCATAAAACGTCAAAAAACATTTTTGTGCTCTACAAAATTATTTAAAGAAAAACGAGAGTTGGCGGGAAATTCTGATTGATTTGATGGTTTAAAATTTTAAACGCCTATAAAAAATAACAAAAAATATCGATGGCTCGAAAAAAATAATCAATGGATAGTACCACCAAGACGGACCTACAATAAGATTCGCCCGTACGTAATTATTTGAAAGAGATATTTTTGTATCTGATGGATTGGGAGAAGGGTCCTCATAGACTGAGACC